TAAATTTTTTTCGATTTTTTTTTTTTTATGTTTTTATGAATATTTACGAATTTTTTATTTTTTATTATATTTTTTAAATTTCCCGCCTAAGTGGTGAATCGGACCGGCCTGGTTCAACTCGGTTCGGCTCGGCCGAACCGGGCCTCACCTGCGCCGGTCGCCGGTCGCGTCTTCTCCGACGGGCACAATGCAAAAACGGCGCCGTTTTGCCCCCTGTTCATTGAGGCATTATGTCGAACAGGTGGTGTGCATAGTCCGTGTGTTGAAGTTTTCAAGGCCACCACTTAAATCACTTCTCCAGCGACCTTCCGGTGACTATCTCGCCATTTCTTTTGATCCATCATCAAGCCCATATATTCTATTATGGATCTAGCCTAATCATAGTGCCATTGGACGTTCGCCGGCCGGCGAAAAATCAGTCTAAACAACCTAGTTTGTAAACTGTTCAATCATGGATTTTCTAGAATACTAATCCTAATTCTAACCGCCCTAGCCGTCTATATCATTTAAAACAAAAATCAAATCATCATACAAGGTAATGAAAAGCCCACTTGAATGGCCTAGGGCCTTGATGACTCTCCGGCGAGACGATGGAGCTCCGGCGAAAATTCCAGAAATGGCCGACTCGGTTTTAATGCATTTTCAATCATTCAAAGTGCAAAAAAAACAATGAAAATGAGGTTAGAACATGTTTTAAGCATTAACAAACTCACACTCGTGAATGAAAGTGCACGATCAACAAGATTGAATTCAAGTTCACCATTTCTCAAATCTGGAAAACCGTGACTGGGAGAGGACCTTACCTATTTCGTTTGATGATTGGATGAGGTTTTCAAGCTAATCAGAGCCTGTGGAACTGTTCATCGTCACTTGAACTTCAAACTGAAGGCTTCAGCTTCGCCGGAAGAGTACTGGGCGCGTCGGTCTAACCTGGTTTTCAGGCCTTCATGACAAGCCCGTTCGGATGAAACGATGAGGGGATGGTCACGGCCTATCCACGATTTGCCGGCATTCCGCCGTCTACAGCGGCGCTGGACACTCGTGAAGGACCCTCGACCCTCTCTCTCTCTAGATCATTCTCCTTTGTTTTGCTCGATTCCACTCTCCCTCTCCCTCTGGCATTTCGTCGAGTATCTTTTTGCCTAGAAAAAATTCCACTAGAAAAAATTTAATTGCATTTTTTGTTCAATTCGAGTTTAATTTTGCCCAATTTTGGGAAAAACATATACCTGATTGAGATTTTTTCAAAATTGATGATGTATTCATGAAATTGGATTTAAAATAAGACTAATGACTATTTTTATGGAATTTTCTGATTACATTTGCTATTTTTCTTGATTTTCTCACTTATTTTGACTAAAAGAAATTAAGGAAAAATGCAGAAAAATGCTAAAAAAAAAAAATTTTGGTTTAGAAATAGGTTTCTAGGCTTGGCCAAGACTCCTAGTCCTAATTTTGAGATTTTTGAAAATATGGAAAAAATGAGCTGAAAATCAGGTATCAACAGCCGTCCTTGGATTTACTCTGCTGGAGCCGTGCCTTCAAGCCTTCATCAAAGTGTGAAGTTCGTAACTCAAGGAAAGCTAGTCACAATCCTTGGTGAAGAAGATCACCGAATTTATCAGGAAACTATGATCCTATATGTTGAACCAAGTGGCAAGGTGGAATCTAGTTATCAATCTATCGAGCATGTATCAACCGTGCATGGATATCGAGGAGTTTCTCCCCCTGTCCCCGATATATCAAAAATCGCAATCATGGTAAGAAAGGTCATGGTAGGGAATGGCTTCGCCCCAGGTCAAGGACTCGGAAGAGGAGGCCGGGGTATTCTAGAACCTATTCAAGCCGCTAGGAACCACCGTACCTCTGGTCTAGGATATTGCGGAGGAAACCTACAGGCCAATAAGGGTCGCGGGAGGGGTCGAGCTGGCTTGCTGCTTCCCCATATCCGGGAAACTTTTCTGCTACCTGCTAGATTGTTGCAGGAGGAGGAAAATTGTATCAACATCTCAGGACAACCCGACGATAAGTTTGGGCATCTTGCTGAATGCTTAAGTCACCCTAGCTCCTCAACACTTCTCGAGAATGTTGCTAGCGACCGACATCAGAATCCAGACAAGCTATCGATTGAGAAAGATTGTGGACGAGAAGAAACGCTGGATAGCGTGATCACCCTATTTGACGATATCTTTGTAGGAGCCATACACGAAGACTCGACCCCAGAAACGAGTGTAAACCCAATTGATTTGTTTGCGTGTCTGCAGTATCAGTTGGGCGAACTACGAAATTTGCTCACATCCTTAATGGATATCATTGGCCAAATCTCGGACATGTCACTGTCGCCTTCCGATCAAGAAGAATTGACTCAAGTGAATATTCCTGAAGAAAGCCCACCATCAAGAGTCTTTCCCGACGCGACATGGCAAGACATCCAACTTTTACAATGGCAGGGCGACGTGCGATAGTACTCACCAGTCCCTAAATCCATGGACGTAATATTTCATGTCCTTCTGTAGAAGAAGATGATCACAAGGGAGACAAAACACACTACTCCCGAGTACTTCGTTAATTATGATCCCACCTTGTCCTGTGATTATCACTCAGGAGAAATTGGTCACTCACTAGATAATTGCAGCTCCTTGAAAAACAAAGTACAGGACCTGTTGGATGCTAGGGTATTCACTTTTCGTGCTCCCTGGTTGTGCTACGACAGGAATGACCTCTTAGTGGTGTCCAGCATTCGTGCCACCACTCTTGAATTTGCAGAGAGGGCATGTAAAGGGAACGCAATCATGGATACCCTGGGTGAGCCCAGTGGTGGGTTTGACTTCTACGTCAACTACTAGATACCATCAAACTTTTTTGACGAGTTGCAGAATGGCATCGAGGATGGATGGGGTGGCATGGACCTGCTGACAGCAACGAGGAGAGGAGACGATGAACTGGACTCTTGGAACGATACTTTTGAAAGTTTCTTCGTCAACGCGATAGACGAAGGACCGATGGAGGGACTGGGCGTGAGCCCGCTTGAGTAGATTTCCTCTAACCCTTTTGCACAAATCCCTGGAAAATGGGCTATCCTTGTATTTTGTTTCTTGTCATCATTTCTGCTGAAAGAAATGTCTTTTTAAACTCTCCCTCTCTTGAGATTGTAAATTCATATGTTGTAAGTAAATAATGTTTTGAGGAGATGAGATAGTATCCCAAATCGGCCCGTTGATGATATCCAGCCACGCAAAACAAAGTATTCTGAGGCCCGGGCTACCTCATGCTTCCTCGTTTCTAAGCTTTTCAAAAATTAAAAACATCTCGCTATTTCTTCCAAAAATGTTTTAAGAGAAAGGACAATGAAAAATCCATAACCCCATTTGTTTTTCTGATCAACTTACCCTATGTTCCAGGCATAATCTTGCGACTTGTGAGGGAGTTAGTAAGATCTAGCTAAAGGCTATAGATGATGACAACAGCTATTCTGACGATGCAAGTGACGATCCCACTAAAATTTGAAGAGATTGGGAGCAATATGAACAAATCAAGCCCCTTACAACCAAGAACATTGTTACCATCAATTTGAGTGGTACTGAAGATCCAAAAGAAGTAAAGATTGAGGCCAACCTTCCCGAAGAGAAGGCCACACGTCTGATCGCTCTCCTCAAAGATTATCAAAACATCTTCGCATGGTCTTATTCTGATATGCCAGGACTAGACCCTCGAATTGTCAAGCATAGTTTACCTACTAATCTCGACATGCCTCCTAAGAAGCAAAGGTTACAAAGGACCAAACCCGAGTTGTTGAAAAAAATCAAAGAAGAAGTGATGAAAGCTTTTGAAAGTAGGGTTCATCGAGGTTTTCGCAATACCCTGATTGGGTAGCAAACATCATGCCAGTGAAGAAGAAAGATGGTCGAATTCGAGTTTGTGTTGATTACCGCGACTTGAACAAGGCGAGTCCGAAAGATGACTTTCCACTCCTCCACATAGATGTCCTTGCGGATAGCACTGCGGGATTTGAATTATTTTCTTTCATGGATGGATTCTCCAGGTATAACCAGATAAGGATGAATGACGAAGACAAGGAGAAGACGGCGTTCATCACTTCATGGGGGACCTTTCACTATAGGGTTATGCCTTTTGGTCTGAAAAATGCCGGGGCAATATACTAGCGTGCCATGGTTACTCTTTTCCATGACATGATGCATAAAGAAATTGAAGTTTATGTCGATGATATGATTGCCAAGACCCGATGCGGAGAAGACCATGTTCGAACTCTGAAGAAACTGTTTAACTGGTTACGCGAGTTTAAGTTACGCCTGAATCCCGCAAAGTGCATGTTCGGGGTAACCTCTAGAAAATTACTCGAATTCATCATGAGTAGCAAAGGGATTGAGGTTGACCCTTCGAAGATCAAAGCGATATGTGAGCTCTAACCTCCATCCACAGTGAAAGATGTCAGAAGCCTTTTGGGAAGATTGAACTACATCGCACGATTCATCTCCCAACTCTCAGAGACTGCACGGCCTTTCTTCAAACTTCTCAGAAAAGATGCTCACATCAGCTGGGATGAAGACTGTTGGGAAGCATTTGAAAAACTGAAACAGTATTTGATGAATCCCCCGGTACTAGTTCCGCCAGTCCCAGGACATCCTCTAACTCTCTATTTAATGATCCACAGTGAATCGTTAGGAGCCCTATTGGCCCAGAGCCACCCCGACGATGGAAAAGAACGGGCCATCTATTATCTGAGTAAGAAATTCACCATTTTGGAACATAATTATTCCGAATCAGAAAAAACATGTGTCGCATTGGTGTGGGTGTTGCATAGGCTCCGACAATATACTTTGCACCACCAGACGTTTCTCGTAACTAAAAACGACCTCATCCGATATTTGCTTAATTGATCGGCATTGGTAGGAAAATTAGCTAGATGGCAGATTCTAATTTCAGAATTTGACATCCAAATATCGTCGCAGAAATCAGTGAAGGGTCGAGTGATCGCTGATATGCTGGCTGAATGTCCCGGGGAAACACGTGAAGATGATCTCCCAGATGATCGCGTTTTATCTGCAGAAGGACTTACATGGATTATGTTCTTTGATGGAGCAGTAAACCTGTCTGGCTCTGGTACCGAGGTAGTCTTGATATCCCCAGATGGGTAGCATTATTCGGTAGCCGCAAAATTGGTGTTTCCTTGCATCAATAATGTAGCTGAGTATGAAGCATGTATTCTCGATCTACAAGTAGCAGTTGACATGAAAATAACCAAACTGAAAGTGTTTGGTGATTCTGCCTTAATCATCCTCCAGACTGTGAGTGAATGGAGGACTAGGGATGCTAAGCTAGTACCCTATCATGATTATTTGGAAGAATTGGTGACAGAATTCGATGAGATTTCGTTTGACTACTTATCAAGATCTCACAACCAATTCGCTGATGCACTGGCTACGCTATCATCCATGTTACAAGTCACCAATGATTTGGAAATAGAACCTCTGAAGATTGAAGTCCTGACCAGACCAGTCCATTGTATGGCCGTGACCGAGGAACCCGATGGAAAACCATGGTATTATGATATCATGAACTACATCAAAGAGCAACAATTCCCTGAAGGAATTACCCCTGCGGACAGAAAGTATATAATGAAGATGGCGACGAAGTTCTTCGTCAGTGGTGAGAACTTGTACAAGAGGTCCTATGATTCTATTCTGCTAAGATGCGTGGACGCGACCGAAGCAATGCGAATTATGCAAGAATTGCATGAAGGAGTATGCGGTCCACACATGAATGGACACATGTTAGCCAGGAAAATAACAAGATTAGGTTATTACTGGCTTCCCCTAGAAAGCGATTGCATTCGACATGTTCGAAATTGTCACCGTTGTCAAATTCACGGAAACAGAATAAATGTCCCTCCAACTGAATTACATCAGTTGTCTGAGTCATAGCCGTTTTTAATATGGGGCATCGATGTGATCGGCCTAATCAATCCAAAAGCATCAAATGGGCATTGATTTATTCTTGTCGCGATTGATTATTTTTCCAAATGGATCGAGGCCACATCATATACCAATGTCACTGCTCGGAATGTGATGAAATTCATCAGGCGCGACATAATCGCCCGTTATGGCGTTCCTGAAGCCATTGTTACATATAATGGAAAGAATCTGAATAACAACCTGTTGATGATTTATTCAGTGAATTCAAGATCCGTCATCTGAATTCGTCCCCTTATTGTCCCCAAATGAACGGAGCTGTCGAGGCGGCCAATAAAAACATCAAAAAAATCTTAGCCAAAACTGCCGAGAATTACCGGAATTGGCATGAAAGATTGCCTTTTGTATTAATGACATATCGGACATCAATTGGGACATCTACCGAGGCAATCCCTTTTTCCTTGGTATATGGCATAGAAGCAGTACTTCCTGTTGAGGTGGAAATCCCCTCGTTGCGGGTATTGTCCCAAATAAAACGGTCTTATGCAGAATGGAAACAGCAAAGACTGGCGCAGTTGAATATGATCGGCGAAAAGCAGCTGAAAGCTCTTTGTCATGGTCAATGCTATCAGCAGAGGGTAGCCAGATCATTCAATCGAAAAGTATGCCTAAGACACTTTGAAGCAAGTGATATTGTCCTAAGGAAGGTACTACCATTACCTCCCGAGCTTGGAGGTAAGTTCGCTCCAAACTACAAGGGTCCCTATGTCGTGAAAAAGCACTCCCTGGAGGGGCTCTGATTCTGACTGAGATGGATGGACGCCAATTCTCCAATCCGGTCAATTCCGATGCTATGAAGAAATACTACCCTTGAAATAATTTCTATGTTCCTGTTGATAACAAGGGAATTGGCAGAAAAGTTATTGATAAAGACACTCTTGGTGGCAAGTCTAACTGGAAAGGACTTTGCATATGACAAAATGGCGTCAAGGCCGATCCTGACAACCACGGAAGTCTCGATGGTAGTCACACCCATATCCGTCAAAGACCTTTAAAGTAGATATTAGCTTTGCTGCGAAGATTCCCATGCAAGCAATTGCGTATGCCCTGTGCAGTCAGCAATAAGAGGATTTATGAGAAACTCCTCAACATGCCGGGACCGCATTGATACAGCATGCGCTGACAATAGGACCGTCTATTTGGAAGCACCCTTAATTATAGAGAATTTCATTCGAGCTTCAACCATGAGAGGAGAAAAGACTCTACTAGCTTTGAAGACAAAAGGGAGACACGAGGGGTAGTTTGATATTGTTCTCAATTTACCCTTTGTCATTTTATTCCTAACATAAGCTCATGCTATTGTCAACAGAAATTGTCAACATCCGAGAAAACTCAAGGAGTTGTCAATTTAAACTCAAATGAAGGGAGTCACGAAGGGTAATGTTGTATCGTTCCCAATTCCTGTCCCTCAAAGAGTCGTTCATTAATACAGTCTTTCTTATTACTTTGCAGGTTTGCCTCACCATTGCAGCATAGGTAAGTATCTCTTTCCCTAAAAAACTCTTCTCATAAGAGTACAAAGAAACAAAGAAAGAAGAAACATGTTAAAGCAAATGAATGCTTAACCCTCCCCCAAGTGCATCGCATGTCTTTTGGAAAGGAATTTTGCATGGAAATTTTACATGTTTAATTCACCAATTCCATGTGAAAATTTTGACAATTCGATGAATGGAGTCGAATTGCTCCGGTGTATTGAACGAGATGTGTCAGGATGATGAGAGGCAATCCTTAGTCTATACACATTCTCACGTACCAAACCCTAGCAAGACGAGCGAGAATGTTCCATTTCTACAAGGTAAAGGGATTTCTCGCATAAGGTACAGTAGCCAAAATGACGAGAGGCAGTTCATTTCTCTGCCCCATACACTACTGATGATCCTTTACTTAACTATTTTGAGCCCATACACTTGGAGGTTCTTTTTAAATTACCCCTGTCAAGAACCACCCCACATTGGGGCAATTGGAGGTAAGTCGGCAGCACAAGATGAAAAAAAAATGAATAGAAATTTTCTTGCTTTCACTTGCATCAATCTTTAAGTGTTATTATTGCAATTGAACTCTCACGATGATTTAAGTGCCCTAGGATGATGAAGAGTAATTCCTTTTCTATCCCATACACTTATATCCATTACTAACCCAATTGAGCCAGTAATTTCATTTCGTACCAACTTAATTAGTGATCATCCCCCACATTGAGGCAATGCGAAGGTCACCACAGTTCGAGCACCATGATCCAAAGTGCTAGATAAAGATGAAGACCTCAAGAGCCTAATGATACGGTCTTATTCAAACTTGTCTAGACCAAAATAACAGCAAAAAAGAAAATGCTGAAAACTAGGGGCAACAAAAAGCAGTGTGCCTGGTAAAAGTAAGGCCAATGCCCATAGACAAAAAGCGATAAAAAAGGCGAAGGAATTTGTATCCCCAAGCAAATTTTCAATTATTGGACAAAAGTCCAAGAAGCCAAAGCACGGGATTACCCAGAAAGTTTGCAAAGAAGATCCTGGTAGTGAAGAAAAAGACAAGTGACAACACCAAGATGATCACCAACTTTTACCCATTATATACACATTTTTTTAGCCCAACGATTTTTCGTATCTCAACTTTTGAGCCAAGCCTACGTTATGTCCTTCATAAAATCTCTTTTGACTAGGGCACCTGAATTAACGTAGAATGTCAAATGTTTATAAATATCACTCAAGGAAGTGCGAGCAAGACTACTTCTATCTCATTTTTCAGGGTTCTTGACTTGTAAACCCGGAGATGATTGTAGAATATTTTCTTTCATAGTCTTGACTTGGGCAATCTCCTTTGTTAAGCCATTGACCAAGCCTGCATTACGATCCTGGTAAAGACCTCTCAGATTGGTAAGATCGTACCGCTTGCGAGAAAACTCAAATCCTTGTTGATGTGATGATGGTCAAGTTGAGTGTTTTCAATGTTCCCACATTAATGGTTGGGATAAGACAGCCCTTTTTTCAGTGACAGCAGTTAGAAAGACCTTTCTGACTGAAGTTCCCTCGTTCAGCATCTTGAGAAGTCCACCTTGCAAGCGAAAATTGTCTCAATTGATGATTTACCCTTGGTGGATATTTGGTGATGCGAACATGGCAAAATAATCACGCATGAATTTTCAAATGTGCATTCTGGAATAGCCTAACTTGTTTATATCCCTTATAGATGCATGCATATTTGCGCTAATCGTCTTTGACAGGTAAAATGTCCTCAAAGAGCGCCTGACCTTTGGAGTGTCTCCAAAGATGTCCCAAAATCTCTAAGATATTCTCTCAAAAGCAGAACAGACACGGCCTGCCCCTGGCAGCCTGCGGTCCCCCTTTTCATGGATACTACTTTCACAGCTTTAAGTCCCATCAACAAGAATTGACACGGCATGCCCGGAGTCTTACTCCCTAATGGTACGCCGCGAAAATTCGGGCATTGGAGAAGCCCTCTTTACCATCCCAAGAGAGATGTCCCGAGAAAGGTCGGTTATTCAGCAGATGATGCATCAAACCTTCGGGTAAGAAACCCCAGGTATTTCATCAGAGCTCTCCTCAAACCACCCGGAAGGTAAAACCGGGTGTTTCTTTGAAAAAGAAAAGCATTTCTCATTGCGCGAAATGCAACCAAGATGCCTCAGAAAGACATGTGTATTCTAGAATAGCCTCAATCGTCTATTCCTTCAATGAATGTATATGTTCTTTGCACAAAAACTTGTCTGACAGGAGACATGCCCTTAAAAGGCAGGAACAGCACAGGTAAGTTTTTTTCTACCCATGCTCGGTTCAAAAAAAAAATCCATGTACCTACGATTGTTATGGTACCCCTTTAAACATTAGACTGACCCCTCTATTCACCACGTACCTACGATTGTTATGGTACCCCTTGAACATTAGACTAACCCCTCTGTTCACCACGTACCTACGATTGTTATGGTACCCTTCGAACATTGGACTGACCCCTTTTGTTCACCAACCGAACATTGGACTGACCTCTCTGTTCACCAGGTACCTACGATTAATATGGTACCCTTGAGCATGGGACTGACCTCCTCTGTTCACATCAAGCCTTTTTCAGGTACTTCTGATAGGATGCAGGTACTTCGACAAAGCAAAACCCCATCAAGACGATCGAAGATAGGTTCGAGTCGTAGACAAACAAAATCCCGTTAAGGCGACCGAAGAGAGGTTCGAGTCCTAGACAAACGATTTCCTTCGTCGAGACAACCGAAGATAGGTTCGGGTCCTAGACAAATGAAATCCAGTTGAGGCGACCGAAGATAGGTTCGGGCCCTCGACACGCAATATCAACTACCTGGGACTATTCTACCCTCATGGTAAGGTAAGTAGCCTCAGGTATGTCTTTATTTGCTTTAGCATGCATCATCTTATATCGCATCATAAAAAATGGGATCCATGGTTCCACCAAAAATAGCATTTATCATATATTCACGGGCCAAAATTAGGTATCATTTTATCTTTGAATGCAATCTCTACGAATGCAACATCTGCGAGCTCACCTTCAAAGAGGGGCAGCTATTGACACATATTTTAATTTGCCCAAAATTAATTATTCAAAAATTAATAATTAAATTTTAATTCAAAAAAAATGTTTTTAATTCCAAGCACATTGCATATAGACATTAGGCTTATTTCCATTAGTAGGGCTTATTAGAGCATGTTTTCTTGATTAATTTTCAAATTAAAAATTTTTTTTAAAAAAAATTTGGAATGACCCGGCCCTCTCTTTTTATTTTTTTTCTCTCGTGCGGGCCCAGCCTACTCCTTTCTTTTTTTTCTTTTCTCTTCTGCCTGAGCTGGGCTCGACCTAGCCCAGCTTCTTCTTCTTTCTCCTCCCCACCGGCCCCTCTCTCTCTCTCCCCTGTTCTGCCTTGTTTCTCCACCGTCCAACTAACGGACGATGGAGCAGCCGTCCCTGTTCCCTCCGAGCAGAGGATGGATAGGGGAACACGACAAGGGGACTGGCATTGATAGCCAGTCCCCTCCTTCTCCATTTCCCGCTGGCCTCTTTCTCTCCTTTCCCCCTTTTTTTCCCGGAATTGTCATAGTCCCTGCACCGGCCTAAATGGCCACAAAAGTCCCAAATAGGCATAGGCTGGTGCAGGCCATTAATGGAGGAGATGAGCTTAGAGAGAGTGAGCCGGACGTCGCCTATAAAAATCGGCGAGAGAGACAGAGAGTCAGCCGGAGATTTTGAACAAAAAAACAGAAAAAGAGAGGAAGAGAAGAAGAGAGAGAGAGAAAACAGAGAGAGAGAGAGAGAGAGAGAGAGAGCATATCGAGAGTCTACCGGTCGTGAGAAGGAAGCCAGTCGCCTCGCCGACGCCCCCAGACCAGCCGGAAGCCCCCTAGAAGCGTCGCCAACCGGTGAGCCTTCCCGACCGAGACACCCCCTGTTTTCCCTTGTTTTTTGGCACGGTTTGGCCGGGACTCACGACGGCTGTTTCGCGCGAATCCCAACCCATACCGTCATCGGTCTCGGCCACTCAGTCGATTTAGTTATGTAAAAGTAATCGTAAAAGCATTCCCCGTTGTCGTTTTGAAACTAAAGGGGAAGCATTTATGATTGCTACACAAGACAATGCAAGGCCTAAGAGAGTTGAAGAGGCTCTCTCATCTATCGACAAGGAAGAATGGAGAAAAGCTTTGGAAGATGAAATGGAGTCTATGAGAGCAAATCATGTATGGGACTTGGTTGATCTACTACCCAAACATAAGGCTATTGGAAATAAATGGATTTTCAAGATCAAGCGTAGGGTGGATGAATCTGTTGAAAAGTATAAGGCTCGCCTTGTGGCGAAAGGCTATACTCAACAAGAGAGTATAGATTATGAGGAAACATTTTCACCAGTTGTAAGGTTTGCCTCGATACGCCTTATCCTAGCTATTGTCGAAAATTTGGACTTAGAATTACATCAAATGGATGTAAAGAAAGCATTTCTCAATGGAGAACTAGATGAGGAAATCCATATGAAACAATCGATAGGTTCCATAGTTGGCAAGCTTCATCAATCAATATATGGCCTTAAGCAATCATCTAGACAGTGGTATTTTCATTTTCATCGAGCCATAACTTCTTTTGGGTTTACGATGATCGAAGAAAATCACTGTGTGTATGTCAAACGGTCCGAAAATAAATTTGTGATTTTATCACTCTATGTGGATGATATTCTGTTAGTTGGGAATGATAAGAGTTTGGTTATCACTATAAAAGAATGGTTGTCCTCTAATTTTGAAATGAAGAACATGGGAGAAGCTGCTTATATATTGGGAGTTAAGATTGAAAGAGATTGAACAATGAAACTCCTTGCTCTGTCACAAGAATCTTATATAATGAAGATTCTTGAACGTTTCAATATGCAGCACAATAATCCCATTGATACCCCTATCATGCAAGGTGAAGGCCTAGGCTCTAAGATGTGTCTTAAGACTCCTGAAGAAAAGAAAGAAATGGAA